CCAGTAAAGTCAGTAAGGCTGGGAAATTGACCAATCACAGTTCATTATTCGACTTACGACATCCAATGTAGACCCAGCCTTACTGACTTTACTGGCGTGCGAAAAACGCAGCACCAGTAATTTTCATTGCTACCAACTATACTGTTTTCACTGGCAGTAACTAAATCCATTTTCGAACACATCCACTATGTCTATGGGTTATACCAAAGGTTATACTGTGGGAAAACTATACGTTTTCCCATATAACCTGTACGCCCATTGGATAATCGCTCGTCGCTCATTGCTCATCGCGTTCAGGGGCTCGATTCTTGAATTTATTCGAAGGAGAAACGTATGCGAAAATTCTGCTCTTACAAAAAAGTTGCGAGTTGATTGGCTATTCGCATGGCTTTAACCAATCGACTTTCATCTTTTCCGTCAGAGCAGAATATTCGTATACGTTTCGTCTTCGAATGATTTCGAGAATCGGGCCCCGTCTGAATCCATCCAGCTTTACATCTATAGGTTTGTTTTCTGTTCCTGCACTGGTGAACTAGTGCAATAAATTAGAGTACTTAAGACAAGTATGTATTTTTTCATTCTAGCTTACTGCACTAGTTCACCAGTGCAGGAACAGGAAACAAACCTTTTGGGTCCACTCCGTCGTTTGTTTTGTTTTGCGTCGATTCCTTCTGCGCATCCTACATTGTTCTGGGCAGACCAATGAGAGAAAAGTTATATGTGTGTAGTGTGGCTTTGATGAGTACGTATGTACAGTCGGGAGCACTGAGGTTGCGACACTTTTTTTTTATAAGTTTACGAACGCGCAAAATAATTCAGATCCTGAATTATTTTGCGCGTTCGTAAACTTATAAAAAAAAAAGTGTCGCAACCTCAGTGCTCCCGACTGTACATACACACATGTCGCTGGATTCTGCCCAGACGTATGGCGGAATACTACATAATTAGGACCGCAAAGTTCAAAGAGGTCGACAGAGGGTGGATCTATTATACTATGGTTGACTTGTAATTTCAAGACTGACTGTTTTTAGCGAAAGAAGTTGTTTTGCAATTGTAACATTCGTGAATTTGATTAGCGATGTCGAACCGATGTCGATTCGATATCGATCAACGAATTATTTCTCACTAGAAAGCCGTATTAGAGCATGTCTTTATTTAAGAATTTTAAAATAAATAACTGCATATCACGAATACCGGCTTTAGACGTCTTTCCAGAAAAAAATAAGACGTTTTTAAAAGGACAGGTTTCAAAAACGTCTTAAAAAGATACACGTATTTTCATCCCGCCCGAGCGTTAGTCCGGAATAGTTTTGCGCTGATCATCGAATGATAATTCCGCGGCGATGATCACAATTGACTTGGAGAGACACGTCGATCGTGTCCGTCGCGAGTGAAAATCCCAATCATCGGACGACACTGAATTTTTTAATCCGATGATTACGCGTGTCGCCTTGCAATCTCTCCAACTCATCGTTCACTGAGAGATCCACGACGATCCATGGAGCTGCGGTCTACGCGACAACGCGACAGTGGATAACGCAACGCGTCCCGCGGACGTTGACGAACACGCGCGCGGGTGACCGAGGGCGCGGGGAGGTCAGCCAATCAGCGGCCCCCACGATGAGGACGATGCCACGCGTATGAGGCCGCAAGAGCCAACGCGAGCCTACCAGCCCGCCGACGCAGCGTCGCGTCTCGCGCCCGCTCATTCATTGCGCGTTCTTCTGCCGGACGGTGTGTCTTCCCGCTTCTCCCGTCCTCGTCCCCGTTCGACGACCTCGTCCCAGCGAGGCAGGCCGCGACTACGAGCCGCAGGTTAAAGAGACAGACGAGAGAAAAGAGAAAGAGCAAGGCGTCCCCGATGAGCATGAGATCCGTCGGCGGATTCTGTTTGGCGGCGCTCTGCCTGGCCGCGACCTCCCTCGCCAAGGTTGAAACCGAGGACGGGGTCCTCGTGGTCACCAAGGACAACTTCGACAGCGTCATCCAGGACAACGACTATGTGCTCCTAGAGTTCTGTAAGTACAACGCACCGCCCATCCCCCTCGCCGCGTCCGCCAGCGTATCTGTTGCTCTTCCGCGAAGCTGCACCCCCGCGTCTGCACCTTCGGTACCCGGGGCCGTGACCGGCGATCGTACGACGAGAAAACGAGCGTCGATCACGAGGCTGGGAAGCGAGCCGAGCGTCGGCGAGAAACGTAGCGCGAGCGTCTCCGTTTCTCGCGTTCCGCCCTCGCGCTGCCTCGCCGACGGCGCGAGCGAGCGAGCCGGCTCCGCCAGATGCGAGGCTACCGTTACACGTCATCACTCGAGCATCCTCGAGGAGTGAGACCATCGGTCGGGGCCACTTTCCGGCGAGACGTTCCGCCCGGTTTTTTTTCCCGCATAAATCCATCTTTTTCCGTCCCCCCCCCCCGCCGCTCTCTCTTTCTCTCTCGCGTGCGCGCGCTCTGAATAATGAGGGAATCTGTGCGCGCTGAACGCGTGTCTGCTACGGGGGGAAAAAAAGAGACGTAAAGAGGAGGTCATATTTGGACGTCCTCTTTCTTTGGAGCGTTTCCGAGATGTTCCGTCCGCATCTAATTGCCGAGATTGATTTATCTCACCCTTCGGCCGCCCACTCGCGACTTCCCCGCGCCGCTTCTCGCACATTCTTCCTCCTTTTCGTCTACCAGCTATGCTCCGTTTCTCCACGCGCTCGTCCCGCTCGCGGGTGCAGAAAGGTGCGGAGGAGTGTAGCTGCAAAGATAGAACGGCTTCTTGGCGTTTTTTTTACCGTTATACGCGTCATGTAAATTGCAGTCGCCCGGCGACTGCGAGACACGTAGCGTTACGTTATGACTCTAAGATGATGATGATGATGATAATGATGACGACGACGGCGATGTCGGTAACGACGCAGCGTCCATGAAATGATACGCGATTGTAGTACGACTGGACTCGAGGACGGAATTAATCGCGTTCTTCCATCGGAATCGAAATTCGATACGCCGATTATCAATTTTAGATCGCTATCTGCCGCTTCGTCGGCTTTACCGCTCAAGCGACCATATGGTATCCCCAATGATCCGACGTTAATGAGTAAATTTTCGAAATTACTCAAGTATTTCAATTTTTCAGATATCTTATTACGGCTCCAAGATCTTTCCAGATTTTCTTGTCAATTTCATCGGCCTTGACTCCTCCGGAATCCATGGGTCTCGGTAGATTTCACCTCCCGATGCAAAATCACGATGAAGGCTTCTTATCCGCACAGCACAGAAAGATTGCAGGAAGATTGCAGAAATGTTACATTGCAAGATTGCAATATTGCAGCAACGTTGCGCAACCTCGTCCGTCCTCAGAGAGATTGCAGTGCAACATTATATCAATGTTGCAGTGCAATATTTTTGGAATAATTTGTTGTTGTACATAAGCAGAGAATTTACTAATTACATATGCATCCGGGCCTTTTTCAATACACAGCAAGCTATTGCGAAGCAACCTAAGGAGATTATGTCGCTTCGCAATAGATGGAGATTGTGAGCGACACCGCACTGATCGAGTACTTAATAAGTCGCGCATTATTGGTATCAACGAAAATAACATTATAAAATTCTCGTAATTAGAAAAATGTTTTAAATAGAAAATATAATATTTTTATTATTTTTGAAACATTGCTGCAATATTGCTATCGAAAGCTTGCAATTTTATATCCCTGCAATGTCTCTGCAAGATTGCACTGCAATCTGCAAGATTGCAATGTTTCTGCAATGTAACTGCAACCATCTGTGCTGTATGGGTAGCCACATTTAGAGTCGCTTGTATTGTTAAAAGAGGGTTCGGAATACGGGCCTATATTAATCGAGAAGTGTAGTTTTGAAAGACTTAAAATATGTCCAAGACTGAAAAATTCAGTCCCGAGAGAGATAAAACAACTGTATTCGATCACGTTTCTGCCAGAAGATAGAATCATTTTAAAGCCTGATCTACAATGAGTTGTTAGCAAAAAAAATCGAAACTACTTATTCTGGGCGAAAAAAAAATTACACGTATCGATGACGTGTCAGTTCCGTGAATTTCCGTCAGTATCAGCGATAACAAATATTGTTCTCTTGCTTTCGGCACTGACACGTCACGGATATGTGTAAATGAATACCTATGTAGTTCTGACTTCTGGCTAACGAACGATAACCGTGTTTATAAAATTAGATAGAATATGGTCAGATTACATTGGATTACATGCAAAGAAATTGCATACAATCTAATGTGATATTCTATCTATTATTTTAAACAGGAAACTCGTTGCGGATTCCAGCTTGTGCGCTAGCAAGTGTCAGCTTCGAACTGCGATAAGTCACAATTCTACATTTATATTTTCCCGTCGTAGACGCCCCGTGGTGTGGACATTGCAAAGCACTGGCGCCCGAGTACGCCAAGGCGGCGAAGAAACTGGAGGAAGCCAACTCACCTATCAAATTGGGCAAGATTGACGCGACGGTCGAGTCGGAGCTCACTGAGAAACACCTGGTGAGAGGATATCCCACTCTCAAGTTTTACCGTAAAGGGGTCCAGACCGATTACACTGGCGGTCGTCAAGCCAACGAGATCGTAAACTGGCTACTAAAGAAGACTGGTCCTCCTGCCAAAGACTTGCCAACGGTCGACGAGGCCAAGAAGTTTGTCGACGCGCACAAAGTCGCCATTGTCGGATTCTTCAAGGTACGATCTAGATCTCGACACCTCTACGTTCCCTCCCGGAAAACATTTTGCGCGTAAACACCTAGCATTATGACGACGCACTAGGATGGGATTTTGCTTACGTTACTGAGCCACTTTTGTATGCAAGTTGTTAGGTATGTGTGCTCCAAATTATACGTTGACACTCGAGCTAACCACTTGCCTGCAGAAGCAAAAGAACTAAATATATCTTCCAAGCAAAACCCAGACAAATTTCATACAAGTTTGCATGCATAAAGGCAAAATTTGCATGCAAGTATTGTTATCCGGGTTGTCTCGCGTAGGATGATCCAGGGATCTCTTGCGTCCCGAATCTGTAGCAACGCCTGTTTATATGCATACGTAACGATGTTTATTAGGATGTGGAGAGTGACGCCGCCAAGGTATTCCTGGAAGTCGGCAGCACAGTAGACGATCATGTGTTTGGTATCACAAGCGCCGACGAAGTCTTCAGCGAGTACGGAATAGAAGACGGGAAGGTCGTGCTGTTTAAGAAGGTACGCTCGCATCGGTTCGCAGGAACAGGAACGATCGTGAATCAAATTAGTTTCTACTTGTTGGAAACAAATCTCTAATTAATCTCTATTCTTTCAAGTTCGACGAAGGTAAAGCTGTCTTTGAGGGAGAGCTCACGATTACAGCTGTGCAGAACTTTATCTCTGTATTTTCGCTGCCTCTGGTTGTTGAATTCAACCAGGACACGGCGCAGAAGATCTTCAGCGGCGACATCAAGAGCCACTTGTTGGTTTTCCTCAGTAAAGAGGCCGGGCACTACGAGAAATACGTCGAGGGTATTCATGAACCGGCGAAGAAATACCGTGGCGAGGTACGGAAGGCGTCGCTTATCTTGCTCTATCGTTTCAGAAAGGAATCAACGCGACGCTTAAAAATATCTATGCGCAGGTCCTGTTTGTGACAATCGATTGTGACGAGACTGATCACGAACGTATCCTGGAATTCTTCGGTTTGAAGAAAGATGATGTACCCGCTATGCGGCTTATTAAGCTCGAACAAGACATGGCCAAGTATAAGCCCGACAAACCGGAGATAACCACCGAGAATGTCTTAGAATTCGTTACCGCCTTCATGGAGGGTCAGTTGAAGCGACACCTGCTTACGCAAGACTTGCCAGAGGATTGGGACAAGAACCCGGTAAAGGTTCTTGTCGGCACGAACTTCCACGAAATTGCCTTTGACAAGGAGAAGGACGTTCTCGTTGAATTCTATGCACCTTGGTGCGGTCATTGTCAGCAGCTAGCGCCCATTTACGAGAAGGTACGTTTCCTTTTCGCTTAGAGTTTACTCGTAATGACATGGACGGTAATGTAGCTTCGTTAATCGAACACGTTTATTTCAGCTCGGCGAAAAATACAAGGACAACGACAAGTTGGTCATCGCGAAGATGGATGCCACTGCTAACGAGTTGGAAGACATAAAGATCACCAGCTTCCCCACGCTCACGCTCTACAAAAAAGAGACAAATGAGGTACGAATCTTTCTTGCACCCAATTTCTTTTTATCGTATATTTACAATATGTTTGGAATGCGCTCATTTCAATAACTTTACTTCAGGCTGTGGAATATAGAGGCGAGAGAACGCTCGAAGGTCTTTCCCAATTTGTTGAAAGCGGCGGAGCGATTGATCAAGCTGCAGAAGAGGTACGTTAAGGGGTTATTTTTAAGCGCGAGAAAGAGGGTGGTACAAGCATTTTGGATTGAAAGACAATCAATTACAGTAATATCTTCTGGAATGCTTTTTTATAAGGTATAATCTTTTTATGTTGCAATATAATTTTATGCTATATCATTCATTTCGCCACAGGCTCAGGAAGAAGACGAGGATGATGATGTGCCAAGGAAGGACGAGTTGTAAACGCACATAATCATTATTATAAGAAGTAAAATCAACATTGACTCGTCTGTTATATTTCCTGCATCCAGTCAATGAACTCCACAATTCCCCGCTTTACAGAAATATTTCATTTCTTATAAAGATAAAAAAAAGAACTCGATGGTACATCCTCACACGTACACAAACACTGTTGTTATTTTAGGAATTAAGTTTAGGTAAATGTTGCAGTGTACAATTTGTAATTAAGAATTTACGTTCGCAGTTTTCCATAGGGTTATTGTCATAACTGATAATCAGCTATTATCAAATTGCGTACTTTCGTGACACGTAGAATAACTTTATCTTGATAGTAAAGTGCAAATTGTGTAAACAGGGAATCATAAAAGTCTGCAGTGTATTTGAGGCGCGATAATAACATAAATATACGAATCCGTATTTCTATATAATTATGCCATTTGTATTACGAATGACTCGACGTGACTTTCCGCCCTTTGAAAACTGCGGCGCTTATCGTTCGTAGTTTCGCGTTTTTATCCCACATTGTGGAACGGGAGAGTAAATCATTAATCTAAGAACATCTTAAAATCACTCTTTATTTTTTTATAAAAAACTTATTTTATCGACAGACGTCTAAACGATTTGTTCCTCATTGCGGTGCGCAAGCGGAAGCAAGTCTTCGAGCGTTGTGTGAGAGTTAGTGATTTATACATATAAACACATTCCCAACTTACAACATTTAAAACTATCACGACGGGTGATGGTTTTTTATATACATAGTTAGGATAGGCAGCCGTTTCAATGTTCTAGTTTTAATTGACTGAAACTCTAGGAAATTAGCGATGAGGTACATATTGTGAAAAAAAAGGAAGAAAAGTAAATTATATATTTATATATGTATATAGTATAAAGTAAATTATATACATTTATATACATATATACATATATACACATATTATTCTTAATATATGAAGATTATATATATATTCTATTCTGCCTTATGTCTATTTTTATTACCACTACTATTACTATACATAAATGTATGCTGTATACTATACTATGTATATAAATATAATTTTAATATTTTTTCTATACGTGTGAATTATCAAATGTGAGTATTCAAGCTCGCGCGTTCAACTTGTGTCTGACAGTTAATTGTTATGTGTGTTGTACAAATGAGCAAAACTGACGTGATGGTTACACAACCATTTACATTTCACGTAAACAGGTATTTATGGCCTACCTTATTGCCCGAGACGTTATAACTTGCAATTAACGCTTTGAGTAGCACGAGCAAATATCTTTTTCTGCGCCTCCATTAATTTCTCGCCATTTTTCTATAACGTTTTGTTTGTATTTTCTATACTAGGATCGCAGACATACGGAAGTAATGGACTGTACATCGGTCAATTTGTCAGGTTTGTACGAACTGTTACGCAATACTTTGCTAATTACGGAGGAAGTGAAGGAAATAATGAGAAGGGACTGTGACGAAGCAGCATTCGTTTTAAAACCATGGCAGGTGAAAATAATTGTTGAAAAACGAACCGACGAAGGCATTTGTAACTGTAAAAAAGTATGATAATCGATTCATTTACGTACTTTGATTTATAATTTATGATTTTACCTATTTGTATTTGCATGGATTTGTTTATCAATAATTAATAGAATGAAGCTGAAGCTAAGGAGATCGCCGCGGGGATAAGCAGAGCGATCATTCTGGCACAAGAGCTGCGCGAAAAATTGAAGCTTAACGTAGCGTCAAAGAAGAGAGTCTTACGGAAGGACACAGTTGAAAATATTTATTTATCCAACCCCGTATCGATTAGCGATCGCAGGAAAATACTGAAGAGCAATATTACAACGCGAAATGCAAATACTGCAAAAAGCTCTGACTGCAAAAGATTAAGTGCACCTCGAAACAACAGAGCAGCTTCCGTCGTGACGAGAAAATCTGTCTGTACAAAGCAAAGTAACGCAGTCGATAAAATACAGTCAAAAATATCGTCTGCAAAAGTCTCAGGAAGGCCAAAGAAAGGGAAGAATTTTATACTGGAAAATAAATTAAACGTTAAGAAGATAAGCTCGGCAAATAAACCACAAGTTAGTGGTAGTAATCCTAATGATATCCCACAAAATGTACGTAGCAATAATAGTGTGTACAATAGAATGTTGGAGAATGTTAAATGTAACGTAGTTTCTTCGCGCATTTTTTATTTCAGTCAAGAAAGTCTCTACCACCTGAGGCGTCAGCTGCTGAATTGAGCAATTTGATACACAAAATGACGCGGCAATCTACCAAGAGTGCTTCAATTTCTTTTCCTGATAATATTAAGGACGATTGTCCATTACATGGGAATAATGCGCCTCAATCCGTTCAAGAACAGATTGCAGCAATAGATGTAGTGGAAGCACTTCGACATTTTAATGTACCGAATGATATTGTTAAGGTACTGAGAGTTTACCACGCGTTTTTGAAAACTGAAATGGATAACTTGAGCGATACTAAAGAGGATAGATACAAGAGATCGGTCGATACTTTCCTAAAAGAATTTGAAACGATGGTAAATATTGTATAAATATGAAGAGAGGGGACGTGTGCGTCGACTTCTTGTATTAATCTTATCTTTATAATTGTTGTAGAATATAGTTATGCAAGATTATTTGTTAGAAGAGCCTCAGTTGCTTAATGAGACAGCAAAATCGATAACTGCATTCAGTAGCATTTTTAGTGAAAATTTAGATTCGATACAATCCAACGATAAGATCACTGAGCTGGGAGCCTCCTTCAAGCAGTATGACATGAAGAATATTGCAGAACCGATTACAAAAAATCCGCCCTGTAATTTTCCCTTGGCGGAAGGATGGATGTCGAACGGCATTTGGAATGTTTCTTGTATGGCGCACTTTCAAAGTAATATACATACATGTGTAAAGTGTGAAATTACTAGCTTTAAATCTCATTTTAATTTTGCTCAACTCTATTTTGTTGCAGATTTTTCTAGAGCATACAACATTAAGTACTGCAATAAGAAGCAACTTTTGTCGCTGTACGAAGCTATACAAAAATTGCAGCGCACCAAATACCTGAATATATGGATACAAATTATTTTACGTGACGTGATACCCACCATCAAGTCTAATCTCGAGCCTACAAGCGCGGAATACGCGCAAGCGTATAAGACAATGTTTATTCTTTATCAGGGATTAAATCCCAAAGTACCAGTCTTAGTGAAGACCGATATATAGCTAAGTCTCACACCACAATATATTCTCTGTTGCTATAGTAACCACTGTGCTTGTATTGTCTAATTGATATCCGCTTTTCATGACCGGAATTCTGTAGAAATGTATTTTTTGTTCTAATATTGTGCCACGATGATAACTGAAATGTTTTGTATCGTTAAGTTATTTACTCTTAACAAGTATGGAAAATAAAATTTTTATCAACTAAAGTTGTAACGCGAGTGCACCCTAGATTTGTTTATTTCCCTACGTATAATTTAAGTTACCTTTGTATACAATGGATGTAGAGTATGCCTATACGAAGAAGAGAATGCATTTCGGGAAGAGTTGCAATTTCTCTGACGTTGATAAAATAGAAGTGGAAATCAAATCAAATCCAGCGTTGATGAGTAATTATGTTAGAACGGATCCTGTGACGCACGCTACGCAATGCAGCAAAGTCTATGCGGTTCACGAGGTATAAATATGTTTTAAACGACATTTATATATGTTAAGTGTACAGTAAAGTTATAATACGTTCTTTGTTCAGGTAAATACAACTACCGCGACGTATAAGGACAACAAAATGTTTCACTACGAGGGCGGCTGGCCGAAGGACATAAATATGAAAGATCTAGAGCAGACAGTCAGATATAGACGTAAGATCGAAAAGGATGAGCTGTATATTCACACGATGCTTCAACTATTACCTGTAAATATCTGTAAACAGTCTCTTATCTCGATTTTCTTAAAACTATTGAAATTATATACTCGTACGGGACATTGTTTTCAAAGTCGATGGAACACTGCATTTTGCAAAACAACGCTTGCAACATTTATGAGCAATATTTCGCCGACGTAGAGGCGACCCCGCTGATCCAAAGAACTTTCTCGCGCACAGTAAACGTTTACCGCGATCCTTTAACGATGAAACGGCAAATCACTTATCTGTCATGGTCGCCGGACCAGGGTAATCGTTTTGCGGCCAGTTATTGCAACGTAGATTTCAAGAAGACCTCCAACAGCAACACCTCGTACATCTGGGAAGTAGGTGCGTTGAGCGAGCATGGCTAGAGTCGAGGTTGATTGATTGTTGATTGGTATAATTACGAAGTATAACTCCGTAGAAAACCCGAATAATCCTTACATAACATTAAAACCCTTTTGCCCGATTTTGACGTTGGAGTACAATCCCAAAGACAGCAACACCTTGGTAGGTGGTCTGATGACTGGACAGGTGGCATGCTGGGACATTAGGAGGGGATCAGAAATGATAGACACCAGCTCGGTCGAGTTTAGCCATAGAGATCCCTGTGATAAGACCCTGTGGATTAATTCCAAGACTGGTACCGAGTTTTTCAGCGCGTCGAAAGACGGACAGGTATAATTTCGCACGAGATAGCGATCACCGCGTCGACGATAAGTCTACCTGTTGTTTGTTTATAGATAAAATGGTGGGACACCAGAAAGTTGCAAGTTCCGACAGAAACTTTGGTGATAGATCTGCTGAAACCGGAGAATCAGGACGTGGACAAAGCTACTGGCATCTCGGCTCTTCAGTTTGAACCTTCGATGGGTACACGGTTCATGTGTGGTTTGGAAAATGGTACGGTCAATCTGTTCCTATATATTATAGTAGCACAGTGCATTTGCTAAACATTGGCCCAATACAACCAAATATTAGACCAATGTTTAACCAATATTTGGCCAATTCACTGTGCTACTAGGGTCGTCGTTGAACGAACTGCATTTAAATGTAACATCATGGACACATGATAATCTTGCTACGCTTATACTTTAACATGACTTAATGATAATATGTATTGCGCAAGAGATTACTTCACTAAACTTTTCAAGTAAAGAAAGATTTGAGTATAACTATTTTAACAACGATGAATATTTCTCGGTCCTATTTTGATATAAATCAAATTGAAATTTAAACGCCCATTGAATTAGGACTAGGCAAGGTGGTGGTCATTAAATAGCTGATGACTGGACAGGTGGCATGCTGGGACATTAGGAGGGGACCAGAAATGATAGTGAATCCATATACCGTATTTTTCCTACTCTGTACTGTGCGCCGTTACTATCGGACATATAACACAGATTTTCCCCTCGGTAGGATCATTCTCGTCAGTGAATTCACATGTTCTAAAAATCGCAGAGCGATTTTTACAAGTTATTTTAATTTAATTTTAATGCTATACTTAGCATTATAAATTTACCCTTTCCCCTATTGAATTAAAATTCTTATTGCGAAAGCGTTTACAAAGTTTATATATGTTATTGCGAACAATATTACCTACAGCCCCAGTGGTCGAGCTGGTTAAGACGCCCGCACGGATTGAGGGAGGTCCCAGGTTCGAGTCCTGGTTGGGGTAATATTTTTCGCAATAAGAATTTTAATTCAATAGGGGAAAGAGTAAATTTATAATGCTAAGTATAGCATTAAAATTAAATTAAAATAACTTGTAAAAATCGCTCTGCGATTTTTAGAACATGTGAATTCACTGACGAGAATGATCCTACCGAGGGAAAAATCTGTGTTATATGTCCGATAGTAACGGCGCACAGTACAGAGTAGGAAAAATACGGTATATGGATTCACTAAGCTATTTAATGGCCACCACCTTGCCTAGGTCCTAATTCAATAGGCGTTTAAATTTCAATTTGATTTATAACTATTTTATTTTTCAAAAAATTCAAATTTTAATTCTTTTAAAAAAATTTGCATGTTTTGTAAGTAAATTTAATCGAGAACATTGATTGAGAACATAAAATTACACGAAGAGATAACATAAATCATTTCTTCAATAACAAAAAAATTTTACTATCTTGAAAAGTTTTTATTTGGTTTTTTTCTTTAACTGATGAAATAGGTTCGCTCTACCCTATACCCAGAAAACATTTTGCGTGCAAACATCTAGCATTATGACGATGCACTTGGATAGGATTTTGCTTGCGTTGTTGAACCATTTTTGTACGTGAGTTATTCGATATTTGCGCGTAAAGTTATACGTTAATACATGAGCTAACTACTTGCGTGCAAAAGCACAGACTAAACGTATGTAATTATGCAGAAGACCGACGCCCTCATGGATTTCAATGACCTTTACATATATAGTCACCTTTGGGAAAATTTACTTTAAATGAAATTAAAGTTTTTAAAAGTAATCTTTCAAATCTAAGAAGTTACTCTTAAAAAAGTTAAAAGTTTACTTAAGAAATTTTAGACACTTAAAGTAATTTTTAGATAGCCAAGTCTGTCAAAGTTCCCGCTAGAAGGCTGCGCGGCATAGCAATTTCTCGTAAGAAGAAAACCGCAAGCGGTATTATAAACTATATTATATACTTTTCACAATTCTTAAAGTTTTCTTTTAAATTCTTAAAGTAAGTTTAACGTTTACCTTAAATAAAAGTTTAAAGCGTCTAAATTTACTTTTCCTATTTCTTACTTTTCTAAAGTAAAATTTTAAGGTTTTCTAAGGTATATTCTCCAAGAGCAAGGGGGAAGAAGTTTACAGAACAAAACTGTTGAACACTAATTGAAAATAACAAAATATTACCATTGTAAAATTAGAAAGATTTATTCATTATTATCTTCACATATTGGGTACATACATCTGTGACATAATATTAAAGAAAGCTTCAATTCTTTCATTGTATTCAAAACATCGACGAAATAAAAACTCGGCTAGATATCCTATATGTAATGTTCTTTACGAGTTCGATGTCGAGGAATATTTCTGCTCTATTTATACAAAAAATAAATCAAACATTCCCTGACACCCTGTATAACTAAATATGATTGTTATATTTTTCAAACTTTTTGTTAATAACTTTTTAACAAACAACGAGCGACGGCTAAAACCTCTTGAAGGTCACTCAGGAGAGTAACCTTGACCTTGACAACATATGTGAAGATTATTGAAATTCGTGAGGGCGTCGGTCTTCTGCATAAGTACCTAAATATATCTTACGGGTGAAACTCGGGCAAATCTCGTACAAGTTTGCATGCGTGAGACAAGCAAAATTTTGCGCCCAAAAATTGTTATCTGGGTAAGAACGCAGCATATAACTTTTGATAACTATTTGATAACAATAAACTTACAAATTATAAATTTTTATGAAAAAGAAACAAATAAATACTATGATATGACAATGAGAATAGTTTTTCCCTTTAGGTGTTGTAATATCAGGCAACCGCAAAGGTAAGACGCCCGGCGAGAAGATTGCAACTAAATTCAGAGCCCAGTATGGGCCGGTCATAAGTCTGGAGAGAAACCCGACATTCGTAAAAAATTTCTTGACAGTCGGAGATTGGACCTCGAGGATTTGGTCGGAAGATTGTAGGGAATCTTGCATAGCTTGGACGCCGTAAGCTTAAAAATAACGGGAAATTAGTTTATAGCAGACCTTTGGCCTTGTTATTTGATATTTCAGTGGACATCGAGTTTTTTTAACGGGTGGTGCTTGGAGCGCTACGCGTTATTCCGTGTATTACTTGATCAAAGTTGACGGAACTTTAGATGTGTGGGACTTTTTAATTCAGCAGGACAGCCCGGTTCTTAGCATAAAGGTACCTAATTAGGCTAATATTGCTTATCGATGATATAAATTTTAACGATATTCGTTCGAAGGTCTGCGATGAAAGTTTGACTTGTTTACGACCTCACGAGCAGGGTCAACTGGCTGCAGTGGCGAATAAAAAGGGCTCGACTTATCTGCTCGAATTTTCGGAAGCTTTGACAATTAATCAAAAGAATGACAAATTACTATTAACTGGGGTAAATATCAGATTGATAAAAAATTAATTTTTTCTAAAACTTTAAAAATTAAAATCATTTAGACACTAACATCCTGTCTTGGCTCTTACCCATACAGCAATGAAACATTTCAAAAACATTTGAAAAATGTTGTAATGAAACATGAAATGTTACCAAAAAATATTCCAGAGATATTTCAAAAATGTTTCAGACATATCAAATGTCCGCTTCAAAATGATATCAGAAATGTTTCTTGAACTGTTTCTCAAATGTTTATGAAATTGTTTCTGAAATATTTCTGGAACTATATCTAAAATGTTTATGAAACAATTTCTGAAATGTTTCTGCAAGTATTTCTTAAATGTTCATGAAACTGTTTCTAAAATGTTTCTGGAACTATCTCTGAAATGTTTCTGCAAGTATTTTTTAAACGTTCATGAAACTATTTCTGAAATTTTTCTGCAACTATCTCTGTTATGTTTCTAGAACCATTCCTGAAACATGTGTGGCACAATTTCTGAAATGTCTATGGAACTGCGTCTGAAATATTTCTGAAACTCTTTCTGAAACCTTTCTCATATCTGATAATAAACAATTCAAGATTTATATCGATTATGTAATAATTATTGTGTGATAATTAAAGTAGTGACAATATTACAGAAACATTTCTGAAATATTTCATTGTTATATATATTTCATTTTAATATTTCAATGTAATGATTGGGCACGTTCAGCAAACACAACTCATCATTGAGCGCGCAGTGATTCTTTAATATAATTCGCTGAATTTAAAGGCAAGAACCAATCATATTAAAGAATCACTGAGCGCTCAATGATTACCCATACAGCAAAATATGTTTCTAAAAGGTTTCAGAAGTATTCGAAAGTTTCGGAAACATTTTATATGTCAATTACATTTCAAAAATATAAAGAAACGAATTTTTGAAACATAACGATGTAATGTATCAAAAACGTTTTAGAAATATTACATTGGAATAACATTGAAGTGTTTCAGAAATGTTCCTGAAATATTTCATTGTACCATTTTCCAGTTAGTAACAAAAAATGAAATATAAAAATGTTTCTGAAACATAACATTGACATACTTTTGATAAACAAGATATTCATTAAAAAATCAACGTTTTAAAAACACGACTTTGTAAAATACACATTGAAATTAATTACAGGAATATACAAAATAAATAATATGTATTTTTGTAAACAATTTCACACAAATTTTTTGTATAAAATTAGTCATATAAAAAATATATTTCGGGAACCTTTCAAAAAGACTTCAGAAATATTTCATGTTACATCAATACATTTTTGAAACTGTTTTTAAATTACTCTCAACGTAAACGTACTACAAACAATTCACAATTCAATGGAACGTCTAAATATTGGAATATTTATTAGCTTTTTCTAAGGTGCATCTCTGATCCAGCCATACAATTCACAATAGGTGCTTTCAGCGGACACAACTGATCAATGATCACCGAATTGAGAATTATTTGTAGTACGTTTACGTTGTAAAAATAATTTAAAAGTGATTTTAAAAATGTATTGATCAAACATGAAATATTCCTAAAATCCCTTTGAAATGTTTCAGAAATATATTTTTTATATGATTAATTTTATATAAAATTTCTGTGGAATTCTTTGCGAACAATAAATATTATATATTTCGACCGAAACGTTTAATTAAGTTAATCTTTATGTTAGTTTAACAATAAATTATTTTATATTTTGACATGTACATCTCGTCACGGCTCAGAGCCCTTTCTTCTTGATTCTGATTTATATCATACGAGCCTTTGTCACACAATTATATATTTTGTATATTCCTGTGATTAATTTCAATTTATATTATATTATACAAGGTCATGTATTTAAAATATTTTTGAAATCATACTGTTTATCAAAAGTATTTCAATGTTATGTTTCAGAAACATTTTCGCATTACATTTTTGTCACTAACTGGAAAATGGTACTATGAAATATTTCAGGAACATTTCTGAAACACTTCAATGTAATGTTTCCAATGTAATGTTTCTAAAATATTTCTGATACATTACATCGTTATGTTTCAAAAATTCATTTCAAATTTACGTTTTTAAAATGTATCAATGATACATGAAATGTTTCCGAAACCTTGAAATATTTCAGAAACGTATTTTGCTGTATGGGTATTGCTAGATCCTTATTCCTTCGAATTGTGATTTCACGTCAGAGCCTTATGAATTTTATTGTTTTATTTTATTTGTCTATTAAAATCATAAAAGCTATGAAGGGAAAAAGAAGAGATTGAATATTTCATTATTTTGTTATTCATTAATTTTTAATAACATGTGTATCTAATTAATAATTATTATTATTCTTATTGTCGTATAAATGATTATTTTATCGTCTATTTTTTTAATTACACAGTTATACATTTTTAATTTATTTTGAAGAGCTTAATAAAAAAACTTTTAGACAATCTAACTTTATAGACTGTAATATAACAAATGACACAGATAGTATTTCTAATTTATCTCAATGTATCGTGCAAATTTTTACGTGAGTTTTCGCTTTTATATTATATTATAATTTAATATACATATAATAGATAACTGTTAACTTTTTAGCTTCTTGATCGTGAAACGCGTCGTGAAAAAGTGATAGAAGCGAAAAACAGAGAACAACGATTGAAAATGAAGACCTTGAAGATGCATGGTGAATCGGATTTCACCGATGCTTCCATGAAACCGGATGAACGGGAAGATTCTAAGGAATCTTACGACGGCTTGAGCAACGCACCAATAGTGCAATGTGAACAGGAATATGAAAATATGATAAACGCGGTAAGGAGATTTTGCATCACTGAAAAATATCTAATAAATTCCACGCTCGCGTAAATAGGTTTCAAATACTGATTATTATTCTACAGGAATTAACGCGACAAGCAGAAGCAAATGCCGTTGAACTGAATAACAACGTGATGCAGAATGGTGCGATTATAAATTAAAATAATTATACATATAGTTATAATATAACTGACGTAATTTAATTATGAATAATTAACGTAAGATATTTTTGCTTACTTCTATTAAATTATTACAATATAAATTGTAAGAAATAATAGGGAGAAAATTTAAATAATCGAAGAACCGAATGCTTATTAAAATAATATTTTCACATTTTTAATATTAATATTATCAGTGATATTTTACGTCGACTTTCTTTATATATATACATATATACATATTATATGAACAACGCTCGCGTGGCCTTCGCTTGCTCGCTTCGCCTTTTTTCTTTTAGTATTTCCTTCATCTTAACTCCCCTCTTCTTTCTGTTCTTAATTTCTATATCTCTGACATCATTGGCAGAGATAGAAATGTAGGCGGCGCTTTAAAATAACGGTTGTAGCATCCCTTAGAGTTCTTGCTAGCAATATTTTGCGAATTGAGATCATTTCACAACTTGCTTCGTGCTTGAAGAGAACATTTTCTGCATTATTTCTAGATTTGCGTTTTTTACAGCAAAGTCTTTAATAACGTGGTAAGTGTAATTTATACAAGGTGTCAGTGAACGTTTGGAACTTAATTTTTGTGTAGATGGTGCGCACCAAACTGATTGTGAGTCGAAAAGTCATCTACCATTTTGCAAATTTTGTAATAGTTAACGAGTTATTAATTATAAAAATCTACGTGTTAGCCCAGTCAATCGTCCAGTGTAAGCATGCGGCGAGACGTGGCCAGCCGCCAGCCCGCGATGTTGTTAGGCACGCGGGAAATTGTTTATTATACGTCTACGGAAAAAATGTTCTCGTAAAATTTACCCTGAAAATCGTGTAATCGTGGGACATGGCATTTTGAAGAACTTCGTAAAAGTTTACCATACATTTTACTAGCATGGTAAAATTTCAGAAAACTCAAAATTCTTTTTACTAGTAAATTGTATACTAGACGAATTTTGTGAGATTTTTCTGAAAATTTTTTTTGAATTTGCTAGTAAAATGTATGATAAAATTTCAGAAAACTCTCACAAAATTCTTTGAAATACCGTGTTGGTTCACGATTATAACATTTTCAGGATAAATTTTAAAAGAAAATTCCGTGAGGCTGTTGCCGCTTTTAATAAACTTGTTCGGATTTATCGACCTCAAATTAATAAAAATTGATTAATTTTATTTTCGAGGTATTTTCGTTGTAGACCAGTGTAATATATATATATATATATATATATATATATATATGCCGAACAATCCGAGTTTTTCATTATATTTTTTAACTGATTTCATGACTTAAGACTATCGTTACGTTTATCGCGAAACTCATTTTTCCAAATTGTGTATGTGCACCCAATTAAGATGTCACACAACGCTTTTCTGGTTCAAATATAATAATATTCATATGTTTGCGCGATTAAATATATAATTTATAAACTTATAATTCATAAACAAATATCCAGTCGGTGATACTGATTTGTCTAACAGCACAAAAATTGTGTGGTAGCTACTTGTTTTGTTTTTGTACACACGTATCAATTGTTAATTTATTTCTCAAAAGAATTTGTTTTTTTTTTAGGGAGTACACGATGAACCATTCGTCGCAGAATCCGCACTTCCCACCTACGCTTGATTTCTCATACTTATCCACTTTGTCGCGACGGAAACAAAAGCGGCTAATAGGAGAGTATTTGTATCCGCTAATTCACAGCATATACCCGAATTTTATGCCTCACAAGCTTACTGATATCCTATTAGACATCAATTCTATCAATGCATTGGTCGACATGATAAATAATCCTGTGATCTTCAATATGAAACTCAAGGAAGCTATAATAATACTCCAAACTTATTATGGTATGAGTAGTACAACTTACAATTAGTGAGAAAGGACCTGACGTCGAGGAACAATAGTTACCGCGATGACGTCCTTCAAAACTATATGATTATTTAAGTTTAATTTTTTTAAATTTAAGTTTAATTAGTGTTGAATTTGTATTTGTACATGGAAAAAATGCTGTTGTTGAATTATAAAAAAATGAAGTTGTTCGAATGAAACGTTGACGTCACGAGTTGCCACAAACATAAATAATTCACTCAATTGTATTTGCTATGGATTGTAATTTTAAGCATTGAACTAAATGCTTATTAAGAAAAACTAAATGATTATTAACCCTTTCGAGACTGCGGGTACACATATACATATATGTACCATTAGTAACACGTAGGACTAAAAATAGTTTTCGCTATTTGAAACTTTACAAACATGAAAAAAGTTAAATAATTAGGGCTACTCTGCATGAAAAAGAACCGTCTTGAAAGGGTTAAAACAACTATCTGATGTTTTTATTAATTAATACTGATGCTGTTTCAACAATTTTATTTCAATTGCAGGTAAATATTTATCCTTACTTAGCACCCACCAATCGACTTCCGTTTGATCTTGATGTTGACCTTGACCCCCAAGGAGGTCAAGGTCATTGCCCATTCCCGTCGCTCATTGTTTGTTAAAAAGTTATGAAGAAAATAAGTTTGTATCGGGTTTGCATATTTCTGTAAAGCACCAATATTCTTGTGTGCGTATGGATTTACAAATGATGGAAAATTATCTGCTTTACAGAACAGTTAACCCGGGTTAAATATATATAAATATGCCGACCCATCTAGAGTTACAGTTTGCCTTAAATTTCATGTTATAAACACTTGAAAACCCATCTAGAGTGTCCGATCGAGTCCGTGTCCGATCGGGCCTGTGTCCGATAGAATCTGTGTCCGATTGCAACCATATGTGTCCGATGTAAAATGTGTCCGATCGAGCCTGTGTCCGATCGGGACTGTGTCCGATAGAATCTGTGTTCGATTGCAACCATATGTGTCCGATACAAAATGTGTCCGATCGGGAGTGTGTCCGATAGGAACGGTGTCTGATCGGGACTGTGTCCGATTGGGGCTGTGTCCGATCGGGACTGTGTCCGATCGGGAAATATATATTGTCGTGTCCGATCGGTTATGTGCGCAATCGGGACTCACTCTACACATAAACCAAACTTATTTTCTTCATAACTTTTTAACAAACAATGAGCGACGGGAATGGGCAATGACCTTGACCTCCTTGGGAGTCAAGGTCAACATCAAGGTCAAACGGAAGTCGATTGGCGGGTGCTAATTGTAAGGGTAAATATTTACCCAATTGCACTAATCTTGTTGATATAACATTTTTCCGTGTATATATTATAAACACGAAAAAAACAACTTTGATGTGATCAAATAAATCTGTTTGTTTAGAATTAACCGGTGATTTTGATTGTCTAATGATTATATTGAATAAATCTTTTTTATTTTAAGGACATTTATCGGTAAATAGATTTTCTATGTATAGTGTTTGCTTCAAATTTGGACCATACGTTATTAATAGTGTTATCTATATGCCTGCTGAATTTTAAAAACCTGTCCGTACCGAAGTCAAGATATTCAATATCAAAGTTACTCGTATAGTATAGGCAAAACGTGTTCTACAGAGATATTTTAATTTATCATGATAGAAAATGCTTATGTATTTTGCTCAAAAACTAATCTAAAATTTTCCGTCTGACGACATTTCGAAGTGTGTCGGTTAATACCTTCACAAAGGCAACATTGTTCGATCTTCGCTTTTCATAAAGCGTGCTAGTGTATAGGGTGTACATACATATATACGTGTATACATTAAGACGTAGAGCTGCGTTAATTGTGTAGAGTGCGAAAACTTTTGGCTACGATTATAGCCGATAAATGCCCTTAAACTAATAAAGTTGTTTTATTTATAATGTTGTCTAACTTCTTTTTTCTCCTCTTTTCTTTTCCATGTTATAATTTACTGTAATAAATGCGAATATAAAATAATCACAGTTTGAAATACCTACAAAAGAACTGAAAAGCTTTTTTCTTAAAGTATGGTAATAAATGTTCATGGATAGTCATATTTATTTGCTTGGAATTTTACGGATTTAATTTGATAAAGCTGGAAGGACACACCTGCAATGATAGACTATTCTTGTGCTTGTCTACATTTCGCAAATTACCTAATGTATTGTGAAATTTATTTTCTATTTTCTTTTCTTACTTTTCCTGTTGCGAAACACATCGCTAAATGAAAAGAACCGTTAAAGAAGTTCTCAATTGTTACATAAATCACCTTTTCACGCCTGCACTTCCGTCCTTCTGGAAAACTTTTACTTCTTTCAGTTCTGAATAGACGTATAAATAGGATTTTTGGCAACAGGTGGGCATCAACTACACTGAGAAAAGAAAGTTATTGAAATGACTAAATACGTTTAGTCGGCAGAATTTCTTCAGTTTAAATATTATATGTACATGTTTTTAAGTTAAACATATAGTGACTCATTGAAATATATATTATGATGAATTGACGAATATTTTTATAAAGTGATAAATATTTACTTGGCAGCCCGTGATCGCCGCATATAGTTAAATAAAAAAATATTTCTTCATTCAATACTTTTCTTCTTAGTGTATAATAAAATTGTAGTGGAGACTTCGTTTTTTAGTTATAAGTATATAAAAATTCGAGAAAATAGTTATTACATAGAAATAGTTATAGGAGAGACGAGAGGTTTGGGAACGTTCCTTAAAAACGCCTTGTAACCCCAAGGGGATTCAATAAATCATACTACTGCATAGAAATAGTTATTACACAGAAATTCGATCTTAGAAAAGGCAAATTACTCCTATTAATAAACAGATGCAGACATAGACTTATTAGCAACCGAATATTTTCCGATCCTGAACTCGCTCCCTCCCTCACAACGATCCTGTCATCCCCTCTCTCAGTTTCTTCTATTTTACCTTTCCTCCCTTATTTTCCAATTTATTGCTATTTTTGACATTGGTTCTCTACCCACCATTATTGTAACGTCATCCACACTGTTCGGCACGGCTCGTGGTGAGTACATACCTTCTCTGTCTTCTCTTTTCATTGGCACTAACTTTTTAATTTTTAAGACTTTCGTTTCTTATTTCACTGTTACAGCTTTTGTTAAATGAAGATGACTATAAATTTATTCGCGTGTTTGTTTGCGCACTTTTGTATCACGATATATTACACTTCTTATATGTTAGATTACGAAACTTATGTCTGTGTTATCATATACTTTTAACATGTTTAACTGCGAAATCTTTAGATAGGCCCGTTGTATACATTTGAACAACACCGATTGCGATTCTCTATTGTAATTTAATTTAAATTATGGATGTTTTAAATTGTAACTAATTGTAAGTATCTTTGTTATACTGAAGATGGTCGAATAAGGATTGAAAAACGTATACAGTTTTTATTAATTAAATTTTATTTTTGGACACTACTACCCTGTTCAGACTCTGAGCCCCTTATCTTATCATCCGATACATTTATGTTTGTATATAATATGTATGTTGTTTACTCATCTCGGGCTTAGGTTTACCTACTTTTGGTATCGGTATAATTGTTGACGTTTTCCACCTATCTGGACATTGACCTATTCTCAACGAATCATTAATTACATCCACCAATTCGTCCTTTATTACACAAAATTGATTTCATTAATTCACTTGATATTCCTTCCTCTGCTCCTTTCTTATTAGGCAAATTCATAACAATTTTCTCCAAATATTTTGTATCAATCATTTCGATATGTTCTAATATCTCTGTCACTTCTATAATAAAAATAGAGAGAGAGAGAGAGAGAGAGAGAGAGAGAGAGAGAGAG